TAACTAAAATATAAATAAAAAAATATATAAGATAGGTGAAAAAATATATAAAAGAAAACTAATTTACGAAATGGTACCAAACACACTCTAAATTAAAGTCATTTCAGAGATTTCTCATATCTCCTTAGATTAGGAAGCTGATAGAGTTCGAACTCATACTGTAGTGTAATGACAACATTTTTCTGCACGACTATAGTAAAATACCACTTGCGGCTACATGTTATTGTCTACACCCTTTGACTGAGGTTGGGCTCCAAGAAATTGGGCCTTGGATTGCTGATACCTACCATTCCTGCGATGTCTAGCTAATGAAGTCCAAAGCCCCTCACATATATCTTTTTCTTCTTTTTTTTTTTTTTTTTTTTTTTTTTTTGTTTTTTGTTCAAATCAGATATAATCAGTAGCGGAGCCAGAAAATCAGATTAGGAAGAGCCTTTAAGCCATACAAAAAATTAGACAAATTAATTACAACGTAACTAATGAGAGAAGATTAAAGTTTTTTATTTTTGTCTTGGCATGGAAATTTTAATCCACAACCCTATATTTAGTCATAACGGAGAAAAACTCATCTATTTTTATAGTATGCTAATGTACGACGAGGGAGGTCATTCAGTATTATGGTTTAACAGTATTCATTTTTAATTGTAATTAAGAAGTGTTATGTTCAAATATCTTAAATGTCGAGTTCAATACTAATTTATTTCCTCTACTCATATAACGTTATATAAGAAACAAAATGTAAAAAAGTGCAAGAAAGCGTACAATGCCTTAAACCTATAAACTAGCATAGCTCACATCTGCACTTATCGGGATTGTTAAAAAAAGGGCTCTTATTTTGCTTAAACGAATAAACTTGAATCCATTGAAAAGATTTTAGTCCAAAAACCATACGAGGAAACTGTTGCAATAAATATAAGAAATACTTTTATTGCAAATGATTAATTGTATGTAGTCCTTTGAAGAATATATGACATTGTATGATTGTATTTAATTAGTTCAAAACACACTGTACTTAGATTAACACTAGAGCTTTCTTCTCAATTTGGAAACAGATATCTAGTTCGAATGTCATCTCTTTCATATAGAAATAGAGGGGAAAAAAATTTAAGGCGAGATAACTACCTAAGTTTTGGAGGTGATTTTAAATTGATCACAACCTTTCAAACTTTCCAAATAACTACCTAATATTTTGAAAAGTGAACATTTGGTAGGTTCACTAGTCTTAAGTGATGATGGACAATTATTAAAGCAAGTTTTTACTCACATATCATTTACAGAGCTTTAAATTTTCAATCGACGTAGTTTCACTAAGCAAATTTACAGTTTGGCTAAAGTCAACTTGAAGAATTAGACCTCCATAAACCACTTTAGTATTTGTCTACATCATCATTTAATGCTAGAAACATTATGACTTAATGTTGGTAAAGTCATTACTTAACGCAGGTGACGTGATAGATATCTAAATTTTAAAATGTTACGTGATCATCCTAAAAAGTTGGGTGGTTATCCGTACTTTAGTAAAATTTTTTAAACGAATTTAATTTAATTATTAAAATGCAATTAAAAATTAATTCCCTTGGTTTAAATGGAAATCAATGTCAATTTTTTTTGGCTTAAATGTTAAAATGGTCCATGTGTTTTAGTCATTGGGTCAATTTAGTCCCTATGTTTTCAATTTGGTCCTTGTGTTTATCTTCATTTGCCAATTAAGGTCATTTTCATCTAATTTATGTAGAAAAGTTTATAAATTAAATTATTTATTTGATTTAAAATATTTTTAAATGAAATAAAATTAAAAATTAAAAGAAAATTTGTTCTCCTCCCAACTCCCTGACCTCCTCCCTAACATTAAACCCTCTCTTTTCTATGTCGCAACCTCAATCATTTTTCAGATTAGAAGTTTTATCTCTTATATGTGTTATTTCTCATTGATTTTCATTTTTATGTAAAGAGAAAGGGTAATTATATCTCATGTAATTTATCTTATGATTTTTTTTAAAGAAATTGAATGAAATATTCTTAATTGGCTAAAAGAAACAAACACGAGGACTAAATTAGCCAAATCGAAAACACAAGGGCTAAATTGGCCATATAGCTATAACACATGGACCATTTTGACATTTAAGCCAATATTTTTTGTTGCCTTAAAGCATATTTATTTTTTCAGTTTGTCTTTTACCATATTTTGAGAAATTTTTTATCGTGCTCCGGAGTGTTGAATACTTCAGATCTTTTAACTATTAAATCTTTGATAAAAACCATCAAAATCAAGATTCAAAGGTCAAAACTTTAGTAATATTTTATACTTCAAAGCACCAAATAATTTTTGTTATCTTGCCACTATATGAAACTCATCTACAAACTACAAATAAAACCTGTAATTGAAATGTTTTATGTTCGATTCTCGTCAAAGATAAATTTGAACCATAAAATTATTACTTATGTAAGATTAAGTTTACTCCCTTCTCTTAGCGTAAATAATATTGTATGTTAAAAAAATTAATAATAAATAAAAATATCATGTCCCAACTCAGTCCTCATCGTTTTCCATGTCAAGACACAGAGACTCTCCTAATTATTATTTTTCTTAATAAACAAATAAAAGAAAGGAAAAAAGAGATTAAAATCTCATCAGTTTCTATTAAAAAAAGGAAAGAATCCAGGTAGAACCAACAGACAAAAATATGCGTTTCCCGATCACGGTTTCCGAGGCAAACATGTCCCGGGCCCATATAGTTTTGGCGGTGCTGAAGAAATCCAACGAAAGATACCAAACAACAGTAAACCCCCACGTAATATAATTGTCACGACGACCCACGTGGCCGGCGCCAAGTGGTCTGTCAAACTGGCAAATGACCCCATCTGCAACGAACCAGCTGTAACAAAGCCCAGTTGTGACTAAAATATGCCAAATAATAATTCTGGTCCGTTGGCCTTCTTTTTAGTTTCTATTTTTTGCCATTTATATCAAGAGTTTTTAATTATTTATCATTAACTTGTTTTATAATTTTGATTTTTTGTTAAATTGTCACAACTGAAAGCAAAAAGAGAAATGCTGAAGGAGACCACATTTATGCGTACAATATTGTACGACTTATTCTCTAGCCAATTAAAGTAGGTCTCGCTGCTATTGAAAAAGTTGTTCAATGTAATACACATAAACGAAGAGGTGGAATGGTTTGAAAGAGGTAGACCATATTGTGACAAGTAACGAAATGGTTGTTAAATCGTATATGATTATCAAACAAACTGGCACATTTAATTTATAGAAGAATATGAAATGATGTTACGTCATCATTAAAAATAAGTAAGATCACCTTTAAAGATGTCAAATTTTAAACATGAAATTTAAATGACAGCTTATATGACAATTTGACATCTTTAAGGTTTTGCTCTCCACCTGATATGTTAAATTTTAAGTATAAAATAAAATTTCATATTTGTTTTCCTTGCATTGGTAATGAATTAAAAAATATAAAAATATTTAAACATTCCATTGGTAATGAAAGCTGATGTTAAATTTGACAGTAAGGGGGAGATATGTCATTCATGTCATGCCATATAGATTTAGCTTCTCGGTTGGAAAATATTGTTGTTGTCTTTTTTACTGTTATTGTTGACTTCAAATCTATTTGTAGTAATTAAAAAATGCTTATCATAATTTTTATACTTATCTTTTGTTTTAAAATACCAATTACAACTATAAAAAATAATTAATGTAATAAATAATAATTTAAATTTGACATTTCAGTTAGAAAACACAATTTAGAAAGAAAAATCAATGTGACACATAAGTTTTCAAACTTAAATTTTATGTTTAAAATTTGACAGTCTAAGAGCATTTCCAATGGAAATGTATAATTAAAAAATAATTTGAGCATTAATGGAATCCACACAATAAAATAATTAGAAATTATTCGACATCATCTTTTCTCATATGTCAAATTTGACATATGGAAATTCATATGTCAATCCATCGGTTGGAGCTAACTCCTACCTTCAAATTTGATTACAAGACATTACACTTAAGATTTGACATCTCTTTTGAAAATAATCTAAGGCCATCTCCAATCGACCCGGTCAAAGGGCTATATTGCTAAAATAGCTTGAAATGACACGAAAACCATTTTCAACCGAGAGTTAGGCCAAATGGCTTGTGGGCCCCATTGGGCCGGCCTAATAATTCAAATCCAACATCTACCTAGCATCAGCATGACGCTAGCTAGCAATGGCTAGCTGATGCCAGGTGATCGTCGGATTTGAAATTTTTTTTTTTGTGACAAAATTTTTAAAAATAAAAATAAAAATATCTAATTTTTCCTATAACTACCTAAACAATATTAAATAACATTAAACTTAAACAACATTAAACAACCCAATCTCCACTCTAGTACTACTTGGGGGAATTATTCAAACTTAAAACAACATTAAAAAAACATTTAACAACATAAAACTTAAACGCCTACTCTATGGTTCTTCTTGAGATTACATATAGACAATAAATCTCAAGAGTTACTCGTATCACTCAAAATCCTATTCGAAAAATTATTGAGATTACATCTCAAAATATTATTGAGATAGTTTAATTTAAGTAACCATATTAATTCAATTAAAATAATAAATTATGTTTGGCTTATGACCCTTTGGCCTCCTTGATTAGAGATGATTTTTTGTCATAAGTCTATGTTTGGTCTATGATCCTTTAGCTCTCTCGGTTGGATATAGTAAGAAATATGACCCGATAGTATTCATTAAACTTTCATTCGATTGGAGATGAACTAAGAAATATGTTTAGTAGTGGACGTGTCACATGCGTCCGGTGAAGCCGATGGGTCCTAGGCCAGACTGTCCCAACCTTCCCTTCGTCTTTGTGCATCCGAACGGCTAATCCGGGCCCATCTCCGAACCGGTCCCAGCTCAATGTACGCTCCAGATTAAACCTTCTTTTCTTCCCGTTCAGATCAGGCATATATAAACTCTCGTCAAGACTATTACATTCTCACTCTTTCTCTCTCTCTCTCTCTCTAAACATTTCTATCTAAATCCTGCGATAGCAAATCTGATAGAGATGGAGCGGAACAACATCTTCACCATCGCACTCATCTGCCTTCTTGTCGCCGGCGTCGGAGGCCAGGCTCCATCCGCCGCACCCACTACAACTCCGGCCACTCCATCCGCCACCCCTCCAGCTATTACACCAGCTGCAGCTCCTCAGCCCAAGTCACCATCTCCAGTTGCCACCCCCAAACCTGCTCCCACTCCGGCGTCGGCTCCACCCAAGCCCGCCGCTGCTCCAAGTCCGGCGGCCACTTCTCCTACCGCTACCGTCTCACCCCCATTGCCGTCTCCAGTGAGCTCCCCACCTGCTAAGGCTCCGGTCAGCTCCCCACCACTGGCTACATCTCCTCCGCCAGCCACCCCTGCTCCCGCAGCTGAGGCACCCACAACTACTGAGGTCCCTTCTCCGGCTCCCAGCAAGAAGTCGAAGCACAAATCTCCTGCGGCTGCTCCGACTCCGGATACTGCCAGCCCACCGGCGCCGGAGGGACCTGCAGCGAGCCCTGAAGCTTCGTCTCCTGGTCCTTCAACTGCAGCTGACGACCAGGTATGCTCTCTGTTTCCAATCTTTTGTTTTCTGTTTAGATCTATTATGCGCTGTGGATGCAATGCGCACCCAGATCTGGAATTTTCAGTTCAAATTTTACTTGGGTTCATAACGTTACTGTAAAGGCCGCGCTAATCCTTTGTTACCACTCGAAACGCCGCGTTTTGATTATCTATTTGTTCACGCGCTCCCTTAAGCGTGTAGTAGACGTTTTGCCCTAATGTACATTCATCAGATCTGTTGATCGAGGCGGTGGACTGTCCCGCCACCCAGGGCATGCCGACTCTACATACTACTCACGCGCCACCATAGGTGGAGGTTCGGTTGGGTAAAATATGTGATTAATTTACTTAATTAACCCTAGGTCAAAAAATTTAGAAATGAATCTTACTGAGACAATTTTCAATGATTGGGCTAAAAGCTAAATTTTTTAGCCTGAAAAATTTAGTTTTTAATCCAGAAATAGTTTTTCTGTATTAACAGTTATACTTTAAAATTTTAGCATGGAATTATTAAAAAAATAAATTTTGATTATTTTTTTATTAAATTAAATTTAAAAAATAATAAATAGGTAGACTATTATAAATTAATTTTATGAACATTTTAATCTAGAAAAATTTAAATTTTGATAAATATTAGATGAAGTTTATTTCGATTTCTAAAAATCAAAATTTGGAAGCAATTTAGCATTTAGTTTAAAATTTTTCCTTGGATAAATTGAGTTCGGAGGAAAATTTTAGAAAGTATTTTAACTTTTAATCTTTTATTGGAGATGAAGGAAAGTGTTTAGTGTCATTATGACACCTGATGGTAGGAAATTATTAATGTGCTAAATTAAAAAAAGATTATTTCTTGGGGTTTGTTGTAATATTTTAATCTGTGGATTTTGGAAATGCAGAGTGGTGCAATGACGATCAGGTCCCTCAAGGTGATGGGATCCATGGCATTGGGATGGGCAGTATTGGCATTATACTAAAAGAAGAAGAGAGGAAGGACGGACGGTGTTTGTTGTTATGCAGTCATTATTTTAATCTTTTGTCCTGCCTACTCTTCTGTTGATTATTTATTTACTACAGACCTGGCTGTTGTGCCTGGCTGGCCGGATCGGGTTCCCATTGTATTCTTTTGACACATGATCTGAATTCACTGCTTTTATTCGCCTTTCGATTGCCCTTTACTTTCGCTTGCTTTTGTTTTATATTGTTTTCTTCGCCATATCAATTATATTCTGCATTTATATAATAATACGTGATATAGGACTAGGCGGCTATACGAAAATTTTTCTTTAGCATTTGGCACATGTGATAACTGAGCAGGGTATTTTGTGAACAAGAAATGATTTTGGCGCATGTGTTTTTTTATTTGCATGCACTCTTCTACTCTTCTACGTCTCTAAGTCTAATTGTTTCAATTCTGTCATGATATTGAATTGATAACTAACGTCATGGAGCAGTGTCACAGTTTTTATTGAAACTTTGGTTTCAAATCTGATTACGTTGTCTTTTGGTACGATAGTATTTCTTTTTATATAGAAGTGAGAAGTTTTAGGTACGAATTTTGTGGATGATGAATTTGATACCAAATTAGGTTGTCTATTGTGTGGCTTAGCCGAACTCCTCTTTCTGTTAGTATAAAAATATCGATGTACTCAAAAAAGTAAAAATCATATTACATCTTTCACTTATATATTAACATAGTAATGTACTAGTGGGATACACAAAATTTCTTTAGTGTTTGGCACGTGTGATATTGAACAATATAGTTGGTATTTTATGAACGAGAAATGATTTTGGCGCCAGAATTTTTTTTATTTGCATGCGCTCTTCTGCTCTTCTATGTCTATTGTTCAATTCTGTTATGATATGGAATTGATAACTAACATCACGGAGCAGTGTGACGGTTATGCTGAAATTTTGGTTCCAAATCTGATTGGTAAAAAAGGGAATGGCTAGTGTGCAATTCAATTTGGAAAGTGAATGTGTGTACAAATTCTCAATGTATTGACCATGGGGTTAGAATGGTAATTCTCTTATTGGGTACATACATTGTATGTGGGTCAAATTTACAGGGATTAAGATTCTCTTTTTATTTTTATTTTTTTTCCTTCCCTTTTTTTCAGTTTGAATAGCGATTATTAAGTCACGTTAATATACTTTATAGAAAAAGATAAAATAAAAAGTGTGGGAAGAGAAGAGGGAAATGAGAATGAAACAGAGAGGGACAAAATTCTAATCCAATTCACATATAGGGAATAACTGTCCTTCAAAATTGGATGAAATAAGAGGAGTTATGGACTCCGTCCGCCACTTTTAGGAAACATTAGGAAATTGTGCCTGCACGTTATTGCGGGAACGAAAATAAAACTATAGAAGATGTTCTAAAAATATAGATGTATAGAAATGTAGAGTAACACTATTAACATAAAGATAATAAAGACTGCATACAAAATGTAGTGAATATTTTTTACAGGCCACTGTCCGCAGTTATACAATTTATACAAAAAACATCAAGAAACATTTTGCCATTGATGTACAAAAATGATAAGTCTGATATTTCCCCCTGGTAGCTATGCTAGGTCTTGATCAATATTAGTAGTTTTAGATGAAAGATTTGAAAACATCAAACTGTTCATGTGCACAGAAAAAAAAGGGGAATTGATGTTACAACGGTCTATTTAGACCATCTCCAATGGTTGGACTAAAAGCTAAATTTTTTAGCTTGAAAAATTTAGTTTTTAGCTCAGAAACAGCTTTTATGCTCCAACCATTCTAGTCTAAAATTTTACCCCGGGATTATTAAAAAATGAACTTAAGCTATTTTTTTGTTAAATTAATATATTTTTTTAAATAAATATGTAGACTATCGTAAATTAATTTTATGAACATTTTAATCTAAAAAAATTTAAATTCAGATAAATATTGGGTAGAGTCCATCCCGATTTCTGGGCTAAATTTTGGAGGAAATTTGGCATTGGTTTAGCATTTAGCATTTAGCCCAAAATTTTCCCTTGGGTTGGAGTTGGTTTGAGGGAAAATTTTGGAGTGTAATTTAGTTTTTAATCCACCATTGGAGTTGGTCTTGCATGCAAAAAATATGGAGAAGCATTGTTGTTGTTTTAACAAAAGATGGTAAGACGGTTTTCTACGACAGCAAAAGTTTGTTCCTTCTGGTAGTGACAGCAAATAAAAGAACGTGCAGAGGGAGAAAAAAAAAAGATGTAAATGCTAACTGAGCTGTAATCAAGTGTGTGTATAAATATGGTTACATCACATAAAAAATGGGAACGAATCAAAGTTACCAAGTTTTTCTTTTGTAGAGGAGGGTCTTTTTTCACGCTAGTTGGAGAAGCTTTTGTTTTTTTCAACAATTTGATCAGAACCTGATGAAAATCCTGCACATCTGCTTCAGAGATTTCCTCTGTCTCGCTGTGCCAAACATATTAAAGAGATTGGAAGACACTGCAATTTCTTTGCTAATAGACTGTAGGTGTTGTTGGTTGGATCATTGTGTCCTCAAAAACATTGTAGATGAGGAAATCATTTGAATTCAACAAATTTTGTCGGCTTCCAAACAGTCCTTTGGCCTATAAGTCTGAGAAACTTACTTGGCAATTGCTTTTGATCTATTGATCTTCGATTGAAAACCAAATCTTTGCATGCCATGCCAAAGACCTTTTCGCCTGATTTGCCGATAATGAGAGCACTGATTTCATTCGTTTCGTCTTTAAGGACCAAGAACACTTTGATCATTCATTCAAACAAAAAAAAACATTAATTACAGAGGATAAATGGTGTAATAAGTCAAAAACTGCATTCTCATATGAAAAATAAAAGGATGGCTGTGCAAAGTTGCATTTCAAATTTTTTTAAGTTTTTAAGTTGTAATGTGGTTACATGATCAATGAACTATTAATTGAAAATATGTAATTAAAAACAAAATAAAGGATAAGTTTCGGTTTAAGAATGATATGAGACAATGATCAATTGACAAAACCGAAATATAGTGTTTAACTCATTACCAAGGAGTCAACATTTGATTTCGATGTTTTTGACACATCAGTTGACCAGTCGTTGGGTCCTTGTACATTTGTTTGGCACATGTAGGGTAAACAGTATACCACCATTTATATGTTGTGTTAAACCGCTTAATTGATGCCTTGCACAAAAATATATTATCCTGTGAAATATTCAGAAAGATGTTTAGATGGTTAATAGCATTAAATAGAAAGCTTACGTAAGAGAAGTAAAAAGTGAATAAGACTGTTTTGATTTAATATGATAAAATAAAAGCATTATGTGTACCAAATAGCCCAACCTTCAATCATGACCTCAGCCTGGAAAACTTCAGTTTCTCTTGCCTAACTAGAGGGAGGGAGTGTTGTAATAGGGTGAGACAAGCCAAAAAATCTGCAACAATTTTGATCTAACATTAGTGAAATGACCATAAAAAAGAATAACATTTTTTCTTTTAATAATTCTAGTTGTGTTATGATTTTGATTGTACGATAATGAATGAACTTACACTGATTTATATGAGTTTAATTCTGGAGTCTCTAGATCAACGAAGAAAAGTATTGCACCGGTACTATTGAGGATGATGTTGTCTACACTCAAAAAATGAAAAAAATAAGGAAAAAAAAAAGATAAAAAAGGAAACGAAAATAGAAAGAAGGAAAAAAGATGTATCAGTTGACATTGTAAGCAGTTATGCAAATGACTAACTCAAACTTACACTCATTTTTTAAGAAGAAAATTAAAACAGACGCAACAAAGTATATGTATGAACATTGTGTTCAAACACTACATAACATAACAATTTTTATTTTCACACATGAAAATATTTGTGTTATAGAGGCACAGAACACCCAGACTTATTTTCAAAAATATTTGAACACTGAATAAAACCATCTAACACTATCTAGCAAAGAGAGGAAAACAAAATTTCAAAACTAAACTGGCACGTAAAAATCTAAAAAAAAAAAAAAGAATAGCAAAAAAAATGATTTTTTGATTCAAATATATACCTACAAATAGCTTGACTTTCAAATTCGTAAAAACTGCAATTCTTGGTTGGGCAGTGAATCGAACGACAAAGAAGTAAAGCTGTGTGCAACGTCTGACCACAATGTAATCTTAGTTTCTTTTCTGCCAAATAAATAACTAACAAAAATATTGAAAAAGCGATTAAAATGTGATAGAATTTTTTTTTATCCAAAATAGATTAAATTATTTTTAAGAAAAGTATGTGATTGACCTTTGTGATAAAAAAGCAAAACAACAGTTTATGTGGATGCAAATTTCTTCCTTCTTATTCTTGGATGAAAATGCACTTGCAAAAACAATTAACACCTTAGGGGTACACCCTGGACCCAGGGTAGGTGGAAAATTCGATCTCGAGTCCGAAACGTGAGCTAAAAACTAAATAAATAAAATAAAACGGAAACTGGTTGGAAAATAAAATTCTTCTTATTTAATATAACTCAATAATTCTTTACAAGGCTAAATAAATAAATACAAAATTATATCCTCACACTTAATCCGATCTCATCCTGTCTACCTTCTTAAACTGTTTAGTTTGTAAACCTGCATAACAAGAGAGGGGTGAGCTTTAATAGCTCTGCAGGGACATAACCTTACCATAGTAAAATTGACAATACTAAATTACGTGTTATAAAATCATGTAATCAAGTACCAAATCATTCTCAATAACAATGCATGAATGCAATGCAATACTCTTCATCTCTGCCCATTAATTCATATAATAAAACATGTGGACCTGCACGTCCCATACCGTGCATTTTACCTCTATAGTGGTGGTTCGAATGTTTTAATATACAAATTGAACCCCCTGTAACTCAATCATCCCAAATTCCCCTTTTGTTAGTCATCTTGCCAAAACCCTTCGTCGCCAATCCTGAATTACCCAAAAGAAACTGTGCACTGTGGGCTCGCCTGAGACTTGGTACCTACTAAGAGTTTGGCTCAACTACACAAAAGATCCTTTCCAACTACCCTCATTTCCAATTCCTTCTCACCATTGAAACTCCAACCACATGACCAATTATGAATGATTCACAAATACTTTCATTTATCATTCACATATACCATAGTATATTCTCAACCAATAGCATTTCAACAATAATTCCATAACCAATAACAAGTAAACATGGAAGAGCAGTATTTATCCAATTAGCAACCCAGATCACATTAATCAACCAACAAGATTGATCATAATAATATAATGCTTCACGAAATTTAATAAAGCGAATCTCCGTAAAGGTCTACCGTATTTCCCCTACCTAGATTCCAAAGCATTGCTCTGACTCTTTACTACAAGAGTCTACCTTCAGCAACTCCTATTTACAAGTGTAGGCAATTACTAAAAAGCATGACATGAACTCTAACCCCAGTCAAATAACTTGGTATTACTAATTGAACACGAACCAATTTAAACGTCATTTTGGTTGATCTAGAATAGCTTGGTCATAACAAACTAAATGTTTGAATAAGTACAACTTTTAGAAAATCACGGAGCATGTGAAATTCAAATATACATATGCATGCTTTTTTCTGGTATATAATTAAGAAAGGTGGCATTTTAAACCATGTATATGCATAATACAATTATTTCCAACTACAAGATGTATGCTTGACTTCATGTATAATTGAAACTATTTATATCATATGTGTCTGTAGCTTGATAACAAGATAACAAGCTTGGATCAAGTTAGTAGATAACATCTATTTCCTTCGATATATATATATATATATATATATATATATATATATATATATATATATAGTCTGATACTAATATGCTGCTTTATATATATAACTCGCTGAGAAATCAATTGACATATATACTTGAAGCGGTATTGCAAAAGATAGCAATATTGTAGGATTGGATTTTGTGAAGCTAATTTCATAAGAGCTATCACAACCAAACGATTCACTGTATACTATAATAATACTAATACTTTCTTGTCTAACTCCATTCAATCACAACCCTAATTGAAAGCTCAAAAGCTCTACCATTTAGGTCAAAGAATTAGTACTTACCCCTCTGTGTCCGTGTTCCCTTCATACTGGCAGAAGGACATTAGTCCACCATAATCGACCTTGCTCCTTTATTTGATTCTTTCAAAGCCGACTAACCATCATCAACATAGCAGCTCTATTCTTTTATACCTTAATTTGTTTCCCATTCTATTGCCATTTCCGCAGACATCCAATTCAACCTTCATCTTAATTTCTTTTCTCATCCTCTCTCTCACTCACTCACTTTCTCTGACCCAAAGTACCTTTTCCCTCTTCTCTTTATTCATCTCTCACTAGACTCGTTTCTTACTGGAGTTTGTAGCTCTTGAGGTCCCTATTTACACTTATACAATCCTTGGTGATTACGCATCAGATAAATGTATATAAAGGAATAGTCGGCAATTGGAGAGGAGGAACTATCGACTTGATAGAGAAGAACAAATAAGGCAGCTACACCTAGCTAATAGATAAGGCTTGTTTTTTTTTTTTTTTATCATCATGCAACGCACGAGCTTCAAGTGTTCAATAATCAAAGTGAAGGGGGAGGTGTCACTCAAAAGGAAAGATGAAAACTGGTTTGCCACCTCCAAACTGGAGTGCTCTCCAAGTAGTCCTACTCATTTATCATTTCAAATTACAAGCATGCCAATTCTTTCATTTGGCCAACGCGTGGACACCAACAACTAAATAAATTTGTATATTTAATCAAAATTTATTTAATTACTAAATAATAATATTTAAATATAGGTCTTCACATTAGATCAAGGCCAAGAGCCTCATATGCCCACGATGAAAATGGGGATTTGGCTGAAGAACCTCCGATGCCAAAGTTAGAATTTTGAGGGAAAAATGTTTGGAGAATTTAGAGAATTTTTGTAAGACAATTCAACTTAGGTTTTTGGATTAATTGGGGTGGTATTTATAAGGGTGTGGTTGGCCCCTTTGGGAGAGATGAGAATCGGCCACATTTAGTGGTTTTTTGGGTGTAATTTACAATTAATTAGCTAATTAATAAATTAATTGAGTGATAAATAAATTAATTAGTTAATTAATATAATTTAGGAGAAATAATTTGGGAGTTACCTTGTGAGGGAGATTTGAATAAATACCTATTTTGATCACTTTTGACCTTGATTGAGCCATGATTGTCCGCTGCTTGCGCGTAGAAGCTTCGTTGTGCCTTGAGGGTAATTTTTCTTTTTCAACCCTACAACAATCACAAGGCCAGAGATCACGTATGCAATGAACATTCTAAGTCAATTTATTCAAAAGTCGAAGCAGCAACATCTTGGTGAGGCTCATTGACTTCTTAATTATCTTAAACAGGTTCCTGGTCAATGTTTATTGTCTTCTTCACAAAGTAAGTAAAACATGATTGGTTATTATGATGCAGATTGGGCTCGTTGTCCGATCACACATCGTTCTGTATGAGTTATTGCATTTTCTAGGGAACTCACTTACTTCTTGAAAGAGCAAGAAACAAGTCATAGTAGCACGATCATCTGCTGAAACAAAATATCGTTCCATGGCAGCAAGTACTTGTGAACTTACTCAGTTGAGATACTTATTGAAGGGCTTGCAAATAAGTCATCCTAACCTGACAGGACTATTTTGTGACAATCAAGTTGCTTTATATATTGCAGTGAATTATGTGTTCCATGAACATACCAAGCACATTAAGCTAGACTACCACACTGCTTGCGAGAATTCAAAGAGGGAAGATCAAGACAACCTATGTACAGACATGGGAACAAATTGCTAACATGTTACAAAGCCACTAGGGACACTTGTTTTTCCTTTGCATCTTCACAAATTGAGTGTTGTTTATATCCACACTCTAACTTGAGGGGAGTGTTAAAGGAACAATATTTGATTAGAGTGATTATAGGGCTTGAAGATAGTCAACGATTTGGTTAGTGATTACAGGATCTAAAAGTAATTACAAGTAATTAGCAGTCATTTACCTAGAGTAGATTACAATATTCATGTACAACTGAATATGAATAGTATTAGACTGTCTTCACAAGATAAGATATGAAACAAATCCAATACAAAATACAAATTGATTAGGTTAGAAAAAGAAAAAGAAAAAAAAAAAACAAAACGTGAGCTAAGTCAAAGAAGAAAACGCTCGCTATGGATTAACCAGTCTTCAAATCATATAAGTAAGGGTAAATTACACTTTACCACCTCAAGTTGAGGTCTATTGCAATCTCATACAACATCTTCAAAACATTTCACTTTCATATCTCAAGTACTATTTTATTTCAATATAATACATCTGTTACATTTTTCATCCATTGATTCATTAAGAGCTGACGTGGCTGCCACATTTGTGCCACGTGGCTGCCAAATTGTGCCACATGGCAAAAATAATAATTTTTTATACATTAAAAATATTATAAGAATTTACCCTATTAAAAAAAAATGAAAACCTAGAAAACCATTCCCCCCCTCCCCCTCCCCCGACCACCTCCCTCTCCTCCACTCTCTTCACCTCCCCTCCCATCCAAAAACCCACCCCCACCTCCATCGCAACCCCTTCGCTCGTTCATTTCTCCCAACAAACCCATTTCCCACCCAATTAACACGCCCTTCCACCACTGGATCGAATGTGCGTTTTCCTTCGCCATTACCAGCAATGGAAAGCGGCGACGAGGGTTTGGAGAACACTCTAGATTTCTGAATGCAGGAATTGATCTTGTTGATTAGGGTTCCTCCTGGGGAGTCTTCATTGTCCGATGCACTACGGAACACCAATGATCGACGAACTGATCTGAAAATGTCTTGCATTTCCCTCTCTGTGAGTGTTTGTGTGGTTTGATTTAGAGAGCTTTTACATTCTACTGTTGATTTGGGGTTTCATTTGGTCGGCAGAGTAGAGTGAGAAACTTGGGAGTAGAGAGAGAGGAGGGAAAAAGGTGAATGAGGGTTTATGGGAAATGGGGTGGGAGGGGAGGTGGGGTGGGGGGTTGCGGGGGAGGTGGGGGTGGGGTGGGTTTTTGGATGGGAGAGGAGGTGAAGAGAGTGGAGGAGAGGGAGGTGGTCGCCGCCGAGGGGGGTGGGGACTGGGTTTCTAGGTTTTTAGTTTTTATTTTATTTTTAAATAGGGTAAATTCTTATAATATTTTTAATGTATAAAAAAAAAAAATTGTCACGTGGCACAAATTTGGCAACCGCGTGGTGCACAAATATGGTAGTCACGTTAGATCTTAATGGATCAATAGATGAAAAATGTAACAGATGTATTATATTGAAATAAAATAGTACTTAAGATATGATAATGAAATGTTTTGAAGATGTTGTATGAAGTTGCAGTAGATTTCAAACTTGATCCGGTAAAATGTAATTTTCGTTTTTTTTTTGAAAAACTAGTAAAGTGTAATTTACCCTATAAGTACAGGTGAAAATTACATTGCCACGGCATGCATACTTTTAATATTGGACAGATTGGAACTGACGTTAACACTTGTGCTTATCTCGTTTCATTTACGCGACATGTGGTTCTGATTTCTGAAGGGCCAACCTCAATTATTCCGTACACAGTCCCCCTTGGCACATGTTTCACACTAACTCGACCCACCATACTTTTTGTACTTTGGTAGAAGTTTCCCTTTAATTTCTTCATTCGCACTTCACTTCTCACCATTGCATTTCGCTCAGAAAAACCAGAAGAAGTAGAAGAAGAAGAAAGGAGCCATGGATGTTTCCAGCTTAAAAGCTCGGTATCCCTTCAGCTACTGCTTTTTTGCATTTTTTTTTATTCTGTTAGCAGTAGGAAAGACCAACTGCATGCTGAGATAAAAACCCCTTTTTTTTTTTTCTTTACCAACTACTATTGGCAGACCCTCAGATATCTGTGTTTCTGTGCTTAGAGAGAGTGATGCCTTTTTGGTTGATACCCAGATGCTTATTTTTACGAATTTAGAACAAAGATTTTCTCTTTTTATTTTTCTGTTGGTATAGCTAGGTTGCATTGCCTTCAACCAAATTGAATCATTCAGTGTTATCTTAATGCAAAAGATATGGAAATACGGTTGTTTTAGGGTTCGTCTGATAAACTTTTTCGTTTTTAGTTTCTAAGTCTTTTATTTTGTCTTGGATAGTGGGGAACCCGGGGAATGAGAAAGGTGGAGGAAGGGTACTGGGGGCCTGGGAGGGAGGAGGGAGGAATGAACAAAATGGTTACCAAACGGGCCCTTAATTAGCTTACACGAAACATGGTTTACGTGGAAGCTTTCATTGGTTTAGTGGCTTGATGCATGTTGTTTTTTGTTAGTAATGTATTTATTTAGTACGGATTTTATTTAACTCCCCTTGTTCTATGGTCTCACTAGGTACCTTGACTCTTGCAAAAAACACGAGGTGCAACCCAATTCAGCAATTCTATCATGGTTTTCTCAGGTCTTCTTAAATTTTGAATGTGCTCTCACTTTGACCTGTTATGCTTTTGATCATATGAAATTGAGTGTAAAAACAAATTTCCTTTTCGAGATATTAATATCAATGATTCTTATGATATTTTTCAGGCCAAAATTCAGAATTCGAACAATGAAAAGTGTAGCATAGCGATTTCCTTAGACCAGCTAAGGGATGCCGATATATTGCCTCTAACCAACCTACTTATGTCAAGTAACTCTGCTGACATTGATGCCGTTGACATATTTCTGAAATCCAATAGTGACTTGGGCAAAGCAAATGTTAAGGCCTTGATAAATGTAGTCAATCTAAAGCTTCGAGTCGTCGATCTCCAGGATTTGGCATTGGGGAATGATTTTCTGTGGTCTGTAAGCAATTCCAATGCATATTCATGAGAACAATTTATTTTTTGGCTATTTTTCACATTCATTTCTGGTGAAAGTATAAAAATCGAAAGTTCACTTATGTTTCCTTTTTTGGTGAATTTTGAAAGCATATCTTGGTCAAGAATGTTGATTTAGGAAGTAACTTCACTTTTGTAACCAATCGTTGCGTATCTGTGAAATAATTTACGAGTGTGAAAGTTTCTGACTTGTTCCATTGATTTGGATTCTCCCCAGGGATCTCTTACAGGGTTGCTTGGCTTGCCAAGTCTTCAACTTGAGGTCTATTAATATCCAGAAACTCAACATGGTTGGAAGCTTTTTGCGGCTGCATACGCTCAGTATGGACTTTTGTACTTCACTTGCTAGTTTGCAGAAGGACTGTTTTTCTGGCATGCCTAATTTGATGCGTCTCTCAATGTGCGAGACAAGAATTGCTAATCTCATGGCAACAACTGGTGCTCTATCAAAACTTCCATCTTTGGTGGAATTACGGTTCCAAAGTTGTTTGTGCTGCAAGGACACTGGGGCATGTTCTAATTTACAAGGACAACACAACTTACAGAGTGAGGTAAGAACACAGCATGATTACAACTGATGCACTTAATTATTCAAAAGTACGAAATTTCTGTGTTGGTGATGGATTTATTAGTTTATTTTAATTGGTCTTTTGTCGAATTGTAGGTTCAAGAAAAAGACGAGTTCCTTGTAAGTGTGTGTAAGCTAGACCTGAAGAATGCGGCTATCACATTAAAGTATATAACTCATTGTCGCTCGCCCATATGCTTTGAGAAATATTACCGGGAGTACATGATTTCAATGCTCCCTGGTTTGGAAGTTTTGGATAATTTTCCTATCAGAAAGACTGAAAGGGAATTGGCCATGACAACTGCAGGTAAATACTATGAATACTTACCTTACAAGAGACATCACAAAGAAAGTGTTGTTAGCGTTTTGCATAAGCGTGAAATGGGAACAAATGGTATACACTACCAAAGACCATTCAAGCCAAAACAGCTGCATCCTTATCGAAATGGCCAGAATTTTTTCTTGAGGTCCCTTTGTGCTGCCAAAATCGGGTCTTCAATGTGGCCACTCTTACATCCGCTGTCTAAGTTTAGCCACTCATTTAAAGCCGAAAATAAGAAGCCTCGTCCAAGGCAGTTTGAGTATCATCCATCAAACCCCAGTCTTATGGTTTTCGGAAGCCTGGATGGTGAAGTAGTTGTTCTCAACCATGAAAACGAGAAAATAGTTGGTTATATCCCATCCGTAGGAAGAGCAATGAGCAGTGTCTTGGGGCTTTGTTGGCTCAACAAAAATCCATCAAAGGTATATGATCTCTTTAATGGATTAATTTACATACAAATGCACATGTACCAAATGCAAAAGTGGTTCTACTCCCCTAGTCAATGTAGCATTTTCTTACCCTTTTTATCCCTTTTGTGTTGAACAAGTAGCTTGTTGCTGGTTCAGATAACGGTTCCTTGAAGTTGTTTGACATCAATTACATGTCACGAGAAGTTTCAGGCTCCTTCTGCAGCTCCAGTGCTGCAACTTTTGACGATTTTGAGCAGTTGATTTCTCTTCATGTAAATTCAACTGATGACCGGCTTCTTGCTAGTAGTTACTCTAAAGGTCTTGCTCTATATGACCTAGCAAGTGGAAAGCGTTTACAGTTGTTCACTAATATTCACCAAGAACCAATCAATGTTTCCAAATTTTCCCACCATTCCCCTTATATGTTTGCTACTTCATCATTTGACCATGATGTGAAGATGTGGGATTTGAGACAGAATCCAATGCGGCCTTGCTATACAGCTTCAAGCTCAAGAGGAAACGTGATGGTTTGCTTTTCTCCCGATGACCTTTATTTGCTTGTTTCAGCTGTTGACAATGAGGTATAACTATACCAATAAAATGCACTTCAGTCTGTTTTTGTAGAAAAAATATATATAAAATCCTACTTGATCAAACTTTTACCCCTACAGATTCTGAGGTGGGAAGTCATTTTCTATCCTACTGAATTGTGGTGTTTTTTCGAATTTGAAGTCCAGAGGCTAACTTTTATGGGGTTGTCACTTTCCAGGTTAAGCAACTTTTGGCGGTAGATGGGAGGGTTCACATGAATTTTGAAATAGCTGCCACGGGAAGTTCTCATAATTATACTCGTTCATATTACATGAATGGAAGGGACTATATTATCAGCGGGAGTTGTGATGAGAATATAGTTCGCATTTGCTGTGCTCAAACTGGAAAGCGACTGAGGGATGTCCATTTGGAGGTAAACTTTTGGATGACATTTGTATTTTCATATGCAAAGCTTCTACTTATGCTCACCGCTGCTCTTTTGCAGGATACAGAGTCAGGAAATTCAATATTTGTGCAGTCCTTACGGGGTGATCCTTTCAGGGTAAGTTGTGCAGCAAATATGATGCATCGTTAGTTCTTTGATAGCGTCATCCTTAGCTGTGCACGATTTTCTTCATAAGGGTTTAGGATCTTCTCTGTTACTAGAAATCTACTGATGCAAAATTGTTACTTTCTTTTTTTTTTTTTTTAATTGTGTTCACTTTGGGGAAAATAGCATTTTCACATGAGTATATTAGCAACCTCGACACGTCCAAGCTCTAAGTGGGAGATTATCAAGGTAATGCTAATGTGCCATCATCATTTGTGTTGTTTGAAGGTTTTAAAGGGGATGGCTAAAATTGCGTTGGATTTTACGCAGGTCAATTTACTTAGATCAAGTTGCTACTCAGAAGAGAATTCCTCTGGCCAATGTTTTAACCCTTCCTGCTGTCTCGGAGGTTGATATATATTTCTGTGGTATGTCATATGGATGGATAGAGTATATACAAGCACAAGGATATTTTCTGTGAGCATATCTATAAACGTATCTGTCATCGGATGATTTACACCAAACCAAAATTTGAGTACAAGTTTATTTTGGATGTATACTTCTGCAATTGTTCAGCTTAATTTGTGAGTTATTGAAAAGAAATCTGGCAATGGAAAAGTAAATCCGCTGTAATAGAAACAAATGTGCAATTGAAATTGAAATTACAAAGTTTATAAAAAAGAAATTAAAAAGTACATGCTTATGGTTTAAACTATTAGTATTACATCACTTTTGTTAATTTCTTGTTCTGCAGCTTGACTTCTTCTCCTCGAAATTAAGCGCCATAACTTAAGTAGCTCCAAGACTACTTCGGTGCCTCCCAGAGCAATGATAAGGGCAACGTACGCCGTTTTCCACTCCTTAGGCGGCTCTGAGATGTTGAATCCTTTCATTATGTTGATGACACTCATGATGATTGTGGCGTATCCTACCGCATAGTGAAACAAATCCAGAAGACCCCCTTCTCTTATCTGTCTTCTTCGGCCTCAAAGAAAAAGCTACCGCCAATTGAATACAAGCAAGAACAAACAGTGTTATGCCTATGCATCTATGGCCCTTATATTCAATCACTGGAGACATGGCACCGAGAAAGATACCAGTTCCCCGCCCGTGCCCTGCCAACAAAGCCCAGCATTTGGAATCCTCTGTGAACATTGAACCATGTCGGGTCAGCCCCTTTGATATTTTTGAGATGCCTAGCCACAATCGCCACGATAGCCCCGATAGGCATAAGTATGCCCCAGCTGATGGTTTTGACAATACCAAAAGCATACTTCATGGTTGTTCTCATATACAGCAGATACGTCATACAACGGGAGGCTGAGATTTCCTTGTTACAACCGAGTCCCGTAGCTGTTGATTCTTGAAGAATATACAGACATAGTTCCATCTGTTCTTTTGAAAGCAATGATGGAATTGTGAACCGACCATGCAACCCATCTCGAGTCACCACAGTTTGTGTAAAGGCAACGCTGTAATTTTACAGCAAATAGCTACTAGACTCACTGCTGTTATTTCTTCCCGTGCATTTTCATGTAAGAAGCTAAGAGACTGAGGAGTAACTTTGCCTGCAAGGAAACCGAAACTTTGGTAAGCCCTATGCTCTTGTGAGTGCAAACAAATGTGTAAAATATTCAGTTTGGAGTGCAGACGACTAAACGAGGATAGAGAAAATCGTTACTGTTACTCGAATATTTAATCCAGCGGAATCATACCTTTTGAATGGCCCTTGGGGTGCCAGATTGGTTGAGTGCCACTAAAGGTGGAAGAGCTCCTTGTCGAAGCAACGTATTGCAATGTCTGTTACTATCTGTGCAGAGTTGTAAAAGAGCCGCAACTGCATTTTCCTTTCCTCTTGCAGAACCCAACTCGAGAACTTCAACCAGACCAGGGATCCCGCCTTCTTGGCTAATCGCAGTACGCCCCTCAGGAATCGTAGAAAGATTAGCCAGAATAGCAACTGCCTTGTCAACCATTCCAGCTGCCGGGTTCATCAACTCCACCAGGTACTTTACAGCACCCGCTTCAACAATCCGGGGCTTGTTTTCACGAAAATTCGACAAGCTAAAGAAGGTCGAGGCTGCGTCGTTCTTCCCTCTAAGAGTCCCATTCCTTAGTAAATCAACTAGAAGCCTAATAGCACCGGACCTTCCAATCCGAACACTGTTGCCCTCCTCGTGCACCGAAAGGCTATAGAGAGTGGCAGCGGAGTTCTCCTTGGCCTCGGCACTGCCTGTCTCGAGGACATGAACCAGATGTTCAATTGCATTGGCAGTATTAGCTATTGCAGTTTTGTTGGGACCATAGATGGACAAGTTAAGAAGTGCTGTGACAGCATTTTCCTGAACCCCGTTGTCTGCAGATTGAAGCAAGTCCACCAAGAAGTCAATGGCTCCACAGTTTGCAATAACAACCCGATTTTCCATGCCATGCCTGGCGAGTAAACGGAGTTCAAACGTTGCAGCTCTTTGAGATTCAACTGAAGAAGTGCCATTCAAGTCATCAACAAGATCACGAACACGGGCTTCAATCAATCCGGAGTTGTCCACTATTGTTTCGCCGGCAGGAGAGGGCACAGGGCTCACGGATGCTCGACGCCTCCTCATTCTCGCTGCCTCCGCCAATCTGGTTGGTCTCAGTTTTTATACACCAATGTCGACTTCAAGAAAGAGACAACATTAGACACCAAACGCGTTAAGAAAGTTGAAAGTTTGAACTATGAAATCGTGATGAACGTAATTACTTGTACCCGTGTCGTTTGGTTTTCCTGAAGGATTTGAAGACTTTGGACTTGACCTACGTCAACGCTAGTGGGGCAGAGCACTACCCCTAATTCGGGGACCCACGCTACGCGGGCAGGTTGATTAGGGCAAGTTGGATCGGACCTTTCGATTCATAAGTTGATTGTTCTTGCACGGAGTAGACGTGATTTCCACCGGTCATCGATTTTTGCCCCACTAATGTTTTAATGTACAATACATGCGGTCTTAATGTTGAAAGATGTCCCAAGTTCTAATTTTCGCACTCCCGTTGATGAAATAAATTAATAAATAAATAAAACCACCGCACAAAATACTCCGCAAACGTCCAGAAACTCACTAAAACCACGCAAGGTAATATGTCAATGTCTATGCTGCCGACAGAGACAAACGGATGCCCAACATCAACAATTTCAAATTACACGTTTGCCATCATCATCTTGCCTAAACAGTCCAACCACCAGACTTACAGGTATGAATGTTTCTTCCAACAGTCAGAGTTAGGTATATTTTACAAATCAGACTCGTACAAATCTTTGATCAATCGTTTGTTTTTCCGTCTTCTTTACAAATCACATTAAAATCCACACAATGAATCCTTTAACCGCGTTATTTGCACCAACCAATTTACACATCATCTATAGAAGCTGAACCAAAACCTCGGCTGACAGCAAACAATTTCGATTATCCTCTACCAGCATTACCTTGTCTATGGTTTCTGAAGTAGCTAAGGAGCGTCTGCGCCTGCAACAAAATCAGAAACACTATATTCAATACATCATTCGTAAAATTAAATAAACTGGGGGGGTGAGAGAAGCAAACATTACAAGAAGCACCGGTACCTTCTCTTTGGCCCTTGGGGTGCCAGATTGTGACAATACTACTAATGGTGGGACAGCTCCTTCTTGGAGCACCTGACTGCAATATCGATTACTGTTTGTGCAGAGCTGTAAAAGAGCAGCAGCTGCATTTTCCTTCCCTCTTGCAGAACCCAATTCAACAACCTCGACGAGAACAGGGATCCCACCCTCCTGACCAATTGCTGTCCTCCCATCAGGAATTGTTGAAAGATTAGCCAAAACAGCAACTGCCTTGTCAACCATTCCAGCCGCTGGGTCCATCAACTCCACTAGGTACTTAACAGCACCAGCTTGAACAATTCGACCCTTATTCTCATGAAAAATTGACAAATTAAACAAAGCTGTGGCTGCATCTTTCCTCCCTCTTGGACTCCCATTCCCCAATAAATCAACCAGGGGCCTGATAGCCCCTGACCTTCCAATGCGAACCTTGTTGTCCTCGATCACCGAAAGGCTGAAGAGAGTGGCAGCTGAGTTCTCCTTGGCCTCTGCACTCCCTGTCTCAAGGACATGAATCAGAGGTTCAATTGCATTGGCAGTAGCAATTGCAGTTTTGTTGTTATCATTGATCGATAAGTTAAGAAGTGCTGTGACAGCATTCTCCTGAACTCTTGTATCTGCAGAGCGGAGCAAATCCACCAACAAGCCAATGGCCCCACAACTTGCAATGACAATCCGATTATCCATATTATGTTTCGCAAGTAACCGGAGTTGAAATGTTGCCTCTCTTTGTGTATCAAGTGAAGTGCTTTTCAAGTCCTCAACCAGGTTACGAACTTGGGCTTCAAGTTCAGAAAGGTCAGGTCTTGTTTCAATAGGTGGAGAAGAAACTATCCTTGGGATTAAGCTAGATGGTCGGCGCCACATTTGGTTTCGAGGTCTTGCCTCTACTATTCTGATTGGCAACTCAGTTTGTCTCTGTTGGGGGGCCAAGGTAGCAACAGCTTGTGGTTCTGATTTCAACTCCCCAGAAGCATCACTGCTGTAGCCTGACAGACTGGTCGATACCTGTAAGGCCCCATTGCCATTGACTGGAGTTCCTTGACTACAATTGGCATTGGAAAGTACGCTGGAAGCTGACGCGGTTCTATTATGGCTTTGAGATGACTGCTCAACTTCAATAAAATTAGGAAGTTCATCTCGAGATGGTGACATAGAGTGTTGGCTATCTCGATCTGTACTCCTTTCTTCTAAGTTAGCAGACCTGTCTTCAGAATTTGCTAGTGATATTCTTTCAATATCCAAATCCTGCCTAGTTCCAACTATACCAGGCAAGGAACCTTCTGATGTAGAACGAGGATGCAATGGAGAACTTCTCTCCGGATACAGTGGACCAGATGAGAACAAGTTCTTCGAGGGAGAACCAGTAGACCGAGTTGACTCAGGTGACATCGATTGACTGACCCTGGAATGAGGAAAAATAGATGAATCCTTTGGTGCACCAGGCTCTGCTTGCCCAAGAAGGTGTGCTGCCTTAGCAGGATCAGGCAGTTTCACATTGTTTGACTCACACCAATTTGCAATTAGTGCCTTCACAGTGTAATTAGGTATCAAATTGCTGTGAGCCAAAGTCTGCCGTGTCTTTGGACAAACTGTGAGGCCAAGACCGATCCAGTTCTTGATGAAAGTCCTCTCGTAGGTTTGACCTGATGCCACGATCACTGGATCCGTCATCAGCTCCAGAGAGAGGGGGCAGCAGAAATCAGCAGGTATTGGAACGGGGCTGCAGCTCTCGGATTGCTTTATCGTAATAAGGCGCTCGTGCAGACTGGTAACAAGGGATATCAGATGCTCAATATACTCTGCTTCTTCAATCTTTTCAGATTGTTCAGCATTTTCCTTCAACTTTTCAAGTGCTACAGCCTCAATAAGAATCTCCTGGTTGGACCTCAAGCTAAGGCCCTCTGCAATTTTCACTAGGATCTCTGAGCTTGGTCCAACACCCTCCACTTGATCGTTTATAGCATCTTTAATGACAGTTGATATTTGTTCATATCCCATGTGCTTAAATTTTTGTATGCAGTGCTGCAAAATAAACACAGTGAGTCTCAGACATCATAAAAGAACTTATCTAAAACTCTTCCCATATCAGAAGTTCACTAAAACGCTAGAAATTGCTTCTTCCATATTCGAAAGATCATTAATAATTTTACCAGCTAACGGATGGCTTCTCATCTAACTAATGTACTTTAATAAGCAATGAATTGAAGAAACTTAGTGTTATGCTCTATCTGAAACAGAATGGAACAGGTAAGAAATAAACACATTTGCTACCTCAAGAGATGCTGAACCCAATTCATCAGGAAGATGCTGCGGGGATGTCTTCAACAGTTGAAAGATATCCAGGCCAGAAGTCCATATCTTTGATATCAATGACTCAACCTGAAGAACCTACACGTCATAGGATAAGATGTTTAACTAAAACACAATTTTTTTTAAGTCCATGCCATACTTTCAAACTTGATGAAAGCTAAGAGGCGTCAGGAAAAAAAAAAAAAAAAAAAAAAGCAATGTAAAATTCATTAAATGACACTAATAAAAAGAATTAGCAATGGCCATTTAAGAATTGGGGCTGCACATGCTTCCAATTCTTACATTTCTAAAGCAACCTTAGACTCTCTAAAGAAAGCTAAGAGGCGTCAGGAAAATAAAAAAGCAATGTAAAATTCATTAAATGACACTAATAAAAAGAATTAGCAATGGCCATTTAAGAATTGGGGCTGCACATGCTTCCAATTCTTACATTTCTAAAGCAACCTTAGACTCTCTAAAGAAAAATTTACATCCTTCCAGAAGAAAAGACTAATCAGCAAACCTGATGACAAGGATTTAAAAATGGGAGGATAAATGAGAAAATGAAGAGACCGCCATTGCTACTGTATATGTCACAATGCAAATTCATCAGCCATTTTCTTTCATCCCATATAGACTAATAATCCTCCCAAAACATGCGGTTTCAAATTCATGTATTGAAAAACATGGAAGAACAGATATGGCAACAAGACAAGAGAATCACCAAATTTGTACTAATCACTTTACCCAAAAAAAAAGTATTGATGAAACTTATAGTGAAGATTATGAATATGACAGGTCAAATCTAGCTTAAATTTTCCTAAGAGACACCATTCATCCTAACTACAAAACACAACTGAATAGAAGTAACTTACAAGCTTGACTTTACTAAACAATGGCTGCCAGTCTTCAATTTGCTCCCTCAACTCATCAACATATTGACCCAGTTCTTCAAATGGCTTATTAAGCAGTTCATAAGAAGCTATTTCAGAATCAGCAATGGCATCAAGTACAGTCTTCAACAATTTTAATATCTCTTCAGCTCTTTTGCAGTACTTCAAAACCGGGTCAAAGTTTATGTTGTCATGAGATGATAAATGGAAAAAAGAGGAGATGTTATTAAGAAGTGCTTTGAACAATGATATCTCCATCACACCTGCATCAACAATTTAACATATAATAAGTACAAATAGTCTCTTTGCAGCAGAAAGGAGTAGAAAAAAAGCCTTGAAAAGTAATGGAAAAACAAACTTATTATATATTTCAAAAATAATAGTGACCATATCACAGAGCAATTACATTCAAAAGTGTTCACCTTTTTAAAAATTGGAATCAATTAATTTATCTGAACTCATACAGATTTACAGTTAGCAAATTTTTATCAGGTTACCCTGTTTCCACTGTTCTCTTGATCAATGCATTTGTACATCGTTGATGTCAAACATGTGCTTAATCTCAATCATAATTCATCAATGGTTCCTAATAACTTAGGTAACCTAATCAGCTAAAGTGTAGATGTAGTGAGCTATGATCATCAAGACATATAATGAAGCTGTCTTTCATTATATAAATACTGAAGAAGATAAAAGATGTATGTATTTTTTTTTTTACATTTCTGTTCTAAAGGGATAATTGAAGTCAGTTCTCTGCCCCCATTGCATTATTGCCAAATTACTAGTTGTAACACACATGCCCAGAGAGGGAGAGAGCCTCGAACATATTTGAATAGGCAGGTACTATAAGTTTTCTAATGCCTTTAGCTCCCATATAATGTTCATGTATGCTTATAAACAATCATTATAATGTGTTTCTTGCAGCATATTTACTTGTTTTAAAAAATTTACACCCCAACAAAATCACTAATCCATCTTGTTTTAAGATTTCTTAGTATAAAACCCCCACTTGTATTTTTTTGTATCGTTCTTGCTGGCATGACATTCAAGACATGTGCCTCCATGAGATTAAACTGATGCATATGATTAGGAAGGAACATTTTGTTAAAGGGATGAAACAGGCAGATTCTTAACAAAATCATCATATTAATGAAGAACATGGTACTAAGT